TTACTCATGAACAAACTAAGATGAATGACACACTGGGGCAGATACCAGGAGTGTGCACATCACCTGAGCTTCATCAGCATCACTGAACCTCAGTACACCCTCTTGCAGATGGGGCCTTCAGGGCTCCTAGAGACACACAACACACGTGCACATACACACCCATGTGGAAAGATTAAATCCCACAGAGTGTGTATTTACACACATAATTCTCATGCTTTAATACTGAGCAAATTCCACCAGCTCTTTCAAAATGAATGTTATCAAGACCAAAGCAGATGCTGAGCTGCTGAGAAAACCCAAACACGGGAGCTAAAGCTACATCCTTTTTTGGTTAAATACACAAACGTTTTTCCTGGTTTCCTTTCTGTGAAAAACTGAAATCCTGAAAGTCTTCCTGAGCTGGTTCACACTTTTGAAATTGTAGCTGAATCAGTACCCTGGTACCAGGTTCCTGCCATACTCATAATGATCATGAAGATCTTTCCCATGACAAACCAAGGCTCATTGCTGCTGGAGAAATGATGTCAAATATTTTTTACTGTTTGACACTTTCAAGGATGATTACTGCCAACCTAATATGCAAATGGGAGTATCAGAAATACGCAGATTACACATATTTAAACTCTAATACAGGATTATATGAGAGCACTTACTGTTGCAGTGTTTGCCATTGACACAACTTCATTGAGATAACTTGGCTGTAGCAACCAAGGACAACACACATACCATAAAGCCCAGTTTCACAGGAGGGGAGGAGAATGCACATAAGCAAAGCAAATTTGTGATTTAATGCAAAGCTGAATGAACCGTTGTCCAGAACAAATACACACCACAAAACACAGACAGTCAACATGTCCTGAGACATCCCCAGATACACTACAAATCATTCATGACAGGAATTGGAGGTGTCTGAGATGGTTTGTGCAAGGGCTGTTAAACACCTTATTTGCACCTTTATGGTTAGCAATTAGACATTGTAAATACCTATCTAATACCCCCATACATACCTCTACACAATGACAAGAATGCTCTTGTCCCAAAGAAGGCATGGACCACACAGTATCCTTTGGAAACACAAGCTTCAATGGAACAGAAGATAGCCTACTGTTCAGGTTTCTAGAAAAGCAGTTTAAAAAAAAAAGGCAGAGGAAAGATTTGTTTTCAGCTCACAATAGAAGCACTATTTGTAAAATGGCAAAGCAAGAGTTAATCTAATTCCCTAAAGCTCCTTATAAAATGACAGCTCTTAAAAGGGTTGTACCTACACTTATAGCTAACTATGCAAGTTGGCAAGGAAGTGGAGAATCAGGCCCACTTGACTCTAATCCTACTGAGTAAAATATGTATTTGTACATTAATCAGAGTGTGCACAGAAATACCTATATAACAATACATAAGGAAATGAACGGATTAAAGCACAGAAAACTCCAGATGCTGGAAAAGATTTTGCGTTCTTATTTTTAGCAGTCAGCATCAGCAAGATTGTTTTTCAAAGGAAAGAGAGAAACTGGCTTCACAAAGACACTTGCATTTCAGGTCAGCGGTACTTAGGCAGTATTTCTGTTCCCAGATGGCTTCCTGAGTATATTTATAAGATGCAGAAAAAAAAGAACCTGCAAATTTTTCCGCACTCACTGCATTTTAATCTGGACAAGGGATTAAAGGGAGGTGCTTCCCATTGCTTGCATAACAGTCACTAACACACTTCAAATGCCCATGACTGTCTGAACAATTTCCATTCCAAAAGGACAGAAGATACTTGGCCCTTGAAGCCCTGCTACAGGAACCACAGAAAACCAAAGGATGCACATCAGTACCAAGGATCAGACGCAAGTTATTGCCACTCTCTGTTATTTACTCCTGAAATTCTTTGCACAAGCAACAACAATGTACAATGATCTGATAAACAGTACTGCTTTTTTTTGTCTTTCAAGGTCAGTTCCAAGAAACCCTTGCTAGAATCAGCTAATTAATTTCTGGCCTCTTTAACTACAGGGTATTTGAAGCCACATGTTATGAATCATTTTCAGTTGAGATATTAAAATCAGATTACAACAGAAAAGCCTTGTAAATATTTGCCTTCAAATGAGGCTAAGAATAAATATATATTCAGTAATTCATCCATATTTAGCAGATATTAAAGAGACAAAGCATAGCTTTAAATTCACTTATCATTTTATACAAAGAGGGGAAATATGAAACTTGGCTTGATTAGCTTGTTTCTTCCTATGCTTTGTAATACCTTATTAAAATTTGAACTTTGAAATTGATATTATCAGTCAAATAATGTCAGCAGAAATATTTAATCTGTGGTTAGAGCTTTATTAATAGAACTTTTATTTGAAGGGTTTTATGTCCAAAGAGGAAAAAAATAATAAAAAGAAAGCCTGAAATGGACTTGGATGGTTGATTTGACTACACTGATCTCATTTTGAAACCCTACATAACATGCTGCTAAAGAAAAATCTCTAAATCTAGCTTCCCACATACACACACTTTAGACTTCCAAGACTACAGAGTCCTCACTCAGTGACCTGTTCCTTTTTGACTGGCAGGTATTCAGGTCTTCATGCGACACAGGGTACAACAGGCAAAAAAAGACTGTTGAGCTCACTGGAAAGGACTCATAAAAGACATTTTCTCTCTTTCTCCCTCCTGATAATATTTTAACCGTTAAAGAATGTCTATACAGTATAGAAGAGAAATAGGGAAATGATTGCTTCTTGTCTGGTTTTGACAAATGAGTAGTATTAACTTATAAAATAAATTTTTAGACCTCTGATAGACCAAACCCCAAAATTAAATATAATTATTCTGACAAAAATGAGAATGACATTGCAGAGCCTCCAAGGGTGACATTACAAATAAAAATCACTTCAGAATTTTGCTTATAGAGGAGCCACATTTATGGAAATCTGAGTGACTGTCATTCATAGTATTCCATTTTGTGCTATAGCAATGACATTGGAAATAGATTTCAGTTTCTCTGTAAAGTATCTTTTTATCTCCACTGACACATGCACCAAATACTGCAGAACGTAACCTATAAAGAAATATATATGAGAAATAGAATCATTGAGTCTTGCTCAGTGTTATTGTTTTTCCAGCAAATATTCCAGTTGTCAGCCCTGTCAGTTATAAATTTGCAAGGATGGGATTTATCTTGAAAATAGAGGAAAGAGAAAGAGACAGAGAGGAAGGAAGGAAGGAAGGAAGGAAGGAAGGAAGGAAGGAAGGAAGGAAGGAAGGAAGGAAGGAAGGAAGGAAGGAAGGAAATGGCAGGGAATAAAATGTTGATTTCATAGGAAGCCTGATTTCTAAAGTGTTGAATAATCTTAAACTTATAATTTGAAAAATGTAATGCCTCTATTCATCACTTTGTTACCACCAGAGTCTTCCTTATGTAAGAACAAAATAGAAGAATTCTGCATGTAGTCAAAAAGATCCCCACTAACATACCAGACTTTCTTTTTGTCACACATACATAGGTCCAGATATTTTATTCATACAAAAACTACAGGTCATAGCTCTTAGGAACAAAGAGGGAAAAGATAATGCTCACCACTTCATCATGCTTTTATCAAGTTGAGTACAAAGTCTAAAACCTAGAGGCACTTGCAAAGAGCTGAGCATCCTTCCTCAAAACTAAAGACCAAACAAAAGGCATTTCAGGTCTCTACCTCCCTGTTGATTTGTGAATGTCTGCCTTTGATAATGCTCCATTATACCAGTAGAGGTTATGGCATTATCCACTGTGAGCAGTTCATGAAGACAGACACTAAAAAGAGGACTTTCATTCTCTATTCAATGTTTTCTTTCATAATGAAATTTATGAATGTGTTAGAAATCACTCTATAGTAGCAGGGTGAAACACATTGTTTCACTCCTGAAAACTTGACTAAAATCACACAGCTACAATTGAATTTCTGTACATAGCAAAGGGCACTAAATAAATTGCTTTCCCAGGACTATGAAAGTAACAGTGAGAATGGGGAAGAAGGGTGCTTATTACAAACATGAAATATTAAAAGAAGTTATATAATCACCAAAGTTTGTAACAGGGACTCTGCTGCTGGTGCTGTTTTACAACCAGTTTGCAGAAAATCTCCACGTCCAATGCTCTTCCTGGCACTGCTCCTTTCACCCCTCAACCTCATCCACTGGTGCTGGGTGCCATCCAAGGCAGGAGGATCACTTGCCATCTGTGGCAACCCTCAGGAGACCTCAATAGATAATTGTAGAAATTCACTTGGATTTTTATTTCAAGCAGCATTAATGCTTAGTCCCTTTTCTAACCTTCCCAAAAAATCTTTATTCAGGTACAGACAAAAAAGAAATATCAGAAACAATAATACAGTTCCTCAACCACTGACCAGAGGCAGAAGTTTTGGGTCCTACTGTGCCTCAATTTACAGAGACAACTTTTCATGCCAAACAAGAAAAATTATAGAAAATTCAGGAGTGAAGGTTTCTGCTTTGTGCTACTTCAGCCCCAGTCTGTTTTCTTTTTGGTTTGGAGATTTTTTTTTCCCTTTTTGGAGCATAACAGATGCTACTCTTTGTAGCTTTTATCCTGCAGAATTTCTTTGTCAAGACAAAGTTAGTGCTCACACTTTCTTAGTAGACCTTAGCCATGTGACATTACTAGTATGCTAATGCAAGCTTTGATATTTTAGTAGTTTTATAACTGAAAAAAATGCTATCAGATTTGAGATTAGTCACAAACAAAAGGGCTGATAGCTGTTACATGGGATCAACTTTCTTTTAAAAGCATATATTGCTAATTAATATAGCAGAAATATTTAGATATTATTTGGTTTATCTTAATATTATCTTAATATTCACAACTTACATTTTATTGTAGGAGAATTTGGAAACAACAGTGACATTAAATGGAAGATTGTCAGAGAGAACCACAGAATTTGTGTCACTGGTCTGCAGAAGTTCTTCTCCAGAAAGTAACAGGAATTTTTCAGAGTCCTGCATCAAATTGGTAGTAATATTAAATGGCAAGTGTTGCATGATTATATCAGCACTTCTTGTATTTTCTCTCCAGCACCCCAGTATACAGAATTAATTCAATATTTCCCTTGGGTTGGAGGCAGAAAATAGCATGAAAAAATGCAAAATAACATGCCACCGATTTTGGAAAGGAATTTATTTATGATGTTTTCCTTAGGACTGAAATCTCCTGAAGAGCCAAAGGGCACGGTTAGTTTAACAGGGTTTGTATGAGACAATGGCTCCAGCCTGCATCCTTTGGGCAAGTCCACAGGACATGGCAACCAGCTGGGATGATCAAGCTAAAATGTGCATAGACATTGCCCCTGAAAAGTAGCTGTGGTCAGAAAAGCCCACTTTCTCGGGCACACAGGGTTGGCTGGGAATCATTTACTGCTGGCAGAGAAGTGTAGCCTCATCACGGACCTGACCTGAGATTTACCTCCCCTCTCCTTCACCGAGCCCATGGCAGGAGCCAAAGCAGACACACAGAGAACATGGTGGGAGCTGGAGATTTGGAAATGTGTAAGGAATAGCAGGGGAAAATGTATTCTGAAGGAGACATGAGGCTGCTCAGGAAGGGAGAGAGGAAGGCAATGGCTCACCAGGCTGAGCCTTCCGTGCTGCAGAAGAGGAGCAGAGGAGGCTGCGTGTGTGCTCTTCCAGGAGGTATGCCAAGCATATGACTGCTGCTGATGGGGAAAGAGTTTCAGCGAACAAGCACATTCTTTGTAATGCAAAGGAGATGTTTCATTACAAACCGGTTGAGGAGTGTTACTCCGGCTCTGCGGGTGCGTGAAACGGAGAGGCGGCATCCTGACCCAGATGGCGTGACCCAGCTGTCGAGGCACCACGGCTGCACGGGCCAGGAAGCTGGTTTTCTGTGCAAAATATTGCACAGACACGGTGTCTAAGCTTTTATATTTAAAACCCTGAATATAAGCGTGTGGCCACTCCCAGAAGGAATGTATCATACAGTTTCCCAGTGTGCAAGAATAGCTACAACCTCAGCGTTTAAAAGAAAATCTAAAACACATTTTAGGCAAAAAAGTAGCAAAATCACTCACTTCAGTACATGGCTAAGACAAAAACACAGACTGGCGGTGTCTTTTTGGCTTATAATACCACCTACATGGCCACAGTGCAAAACTTGCCCTGTTGAAACAGGGCAATGCAGGGTTGGAAATGTTGTTGAAAAATCTTTAAGTCCCCTGAGGGGACTTTTGTTTTTAACCAGTTTAAAATATTTCTATCCAGCATTTCCATTCAGTTCTGCAGTTCCCCCTCTAATGATTGAAATCAATGCGCGGGGCCCAACTTTTTTGCTGCTCTCCTACCATATGAAAATGATGCTGGTGTGTGCTTTGTGCTGGCTTTCCCCATCACCCAGTGGGTGAATTTTGTAGCCTGCCTTGTTAGTGGCACAGCAGGCCGCCAAAAGGAAACCGAGTTGTTTGTACGAGATGAGATGTTGGGCTGCCAACTGTTATAAATCTTGTGCTACTTACAGCTTCAGCTTTTCTTCAAGTCTACTCCACCCCCTGCTGTGGTTTCGACTGTTGGAGCAACATTAGGAGGCACAACTGAAAGCAGTAATATTGGCATTTGTGGGGAAAATAAGAGAAAAAGCGAGGCACAAATGTTTCATTGCGAGAACTATATGCATAAGACCTGTAGCCGCAGACATTCAGGCTCTGTGACAGCGGAAAGGGGATTTGCCCCCTGCAATATTTACCTGTAGCTGTATTCATTGGCACCAGCTTGTTTTGTAAGTGTAACTGCTTGTAACCTTGCACGTGCTTCCCCACTGTCATATCATATTAAATGAGCTATAATTGTAGTCTATTAGAGTGCAATAACCTAAAAGTGATAGTGCATGACAGCACCTGTCAACACGTCATGGAGGATTGTACAGAATGCTGAATTATACCCATTTTATACCACATTAATGAGGCAGCTCATTCTTATCCAGTCATAAATAAACAGGTTTCAATTTCTTTATACACCATGAGAAGCTGGTTAGTTTTATTTTTTTTCCCTTTGCACAGAGAACCAAAGAAGTCACGATAGGGTGATCTATTGCCTTAAAAGGAAGATCGGAGTGTGGTCATTAATGACAATGAGGATATTATTTTTCTCATTATTAATTGTTTTATGAATCCATCTTGGTGTGACTGCTTCTTCCCATTTTTCCTGGAAAAAAATATAGAAACACATAACAAAAAGCAAGGCTTGTCTCTAATAAACTTTTAATATAAAACAAAATTGATTCAGCAGCACCCAAAGGACAGAGTGATACAGGCAGAAACCCGATCCTCTTAAGATCAATGGCTGTTCTGGGGTCTGGTTCTACCTCATAAACTCTTTAAGTCAGGTTTGAACTGGGAATGGGAAGAGAAAAAAGGAAAATGACAGTAGGGAGAAGAAAGACAGAGAATGAGAGGCTTTCAGACAAATCAAAAGAAAAGCAAATGTATCAAAGCACATGTATAGTGCCCATTATTTTCTGTAACCTAACTAGATCACGGTGTCTTCATTTCGGAGAGCTGCTTGGGCTTCAGAGCCATAAATAACTGCCTGTGGTCTTCTGCTGAGCCCACGTGAGGAGAGGTTGGTACAGTCAGTCCCTGTGAGCAAAGCTCTCACCCCCTGACCCAGACAGAGGCCCTGGGCACCCAATATACCAGGTCAGTGATTCTGAGAGGTGGATGTGAGAAGGGGGGTCATGTTAGACAGCTTCCTTCCTTTTCTTGCTCAAAGTTACTCAGCTAATGTAAGATGAAGCGATTCATTCAGGAACTATTAAGTGTATAAATAAAGTATAACGTGCAGAAATAAAGCACACTTAAGAGAGAAACCAATAAAGAGTAGATGGTATATATAAGAGGGAAAATATTTTCAATGTAATGAATACTAAAGGATTGAAAGAAACTGACTACTAAACAAAATGATCACTAAATTCTGATCCTTTGCCAGGCATCTCCCACAGGGTCTGTGTGATGGGTGTCTTTTGGCTCCTGGGAAACAGCTTCTGCTCCTTCTTTGATCTTTGAACTGTTGCAGGAAGAAGAGCAGGCTTGAAAGCACAGCCCACAGGAGGCACGCCAGCTTTTCCTTAGGAAGTGAGAAAGAGAGATCCAGCCTTGGGAGCTGACACCTGGGCAGTCAGCGTGACCAGACAATGATCTCACCCACCCTCAGCTCCACACAGGACTCCCAAAACACCCTCTGTACCTTGGGTAACCCCCAGCTTGCCACAGGAATGATGACTTTGGAGCTACAGGGAAAATCTGTGATGCTTATCTGAATACTCTGACACCACAGGCTATTTTATTCTTTTTTTTTCCTCAGGACTGGTGATGGGTAATTTTGCCAGTAGTGAGTGTTATGGAATGCTTAAGTAAAAATTTCTTAATTTGTCAATATTTATTTACTTTTTTATTTATTACTTAAAAATAAAAACCTAAATTATTTCTTCACTTGAATATTTTCTCTCTAATCTTAGCTTCATAACAGGGAAACAGATTTAGAATTATGTTGTTCAAATCCAACAAAAGTAAGTTTAAAATCCTCATTTGAAAATCAAGCCACCATTTCCTTCAGAACTTGTTTACAACCTATCTTCCAACAAATGCACTGTCCTATGAAAGAAGTGCTGAATGACAGAGGAAGAAATGTTTTTAGGCACTAGGCAAATTAAATCAGGTCAAAATTGTTTCTGAAATTGGCTTGATTTGGATAATAATTTTGACTGAAAAGGACTGTGATTTCAAAAAAAGAAAAATTATTTTCATATTTTCACAATATTTTTCATCACATATTTTCAAAAAATAATTTTTTGTTAAAAAGTTGATTTCTAAACTTCTCTAAATTTAAGATGCACTTAATGAGCATTTCAGTCCCTCCAAATAAATTAACTTTGACTTCAACCCCCAAATAATTTTCCCTAACCTTTTTTTTTTAATTTTTCCGAGAAAGCCAATAAAATTTTATGCTTCAGGTCAGTCCAAAATGAATGGGTTTTTTCTTCAGTTTGACCAGTGAACTGAAAAATCAATTATTCACACAACTCCTCTTTAAAATGGCTTGGAACCGTCTAATTGTGCATGTAGGCAGCTACTTACTGTGTGATCTTATTACTGCTCTCCTAATTCTTGCTCTTTTCCCGCCTAGCTTTGCTGTGTTTTGTTCTGTGCCAGACCATAGACTGTTGCAGTCAGGCATTTTGCCTTCCTGACATCTGGGATCTGTGTGCAGGGCAATTATTCCTGTGCCAGTGGTACACAAGCAGCACAGGGCTACGTCCTTCACGTGTCCATCATTTCTCACTAGCATCTGGATGCCTTCCTTGTCGTTGCAAGTGACATCCCCAGCACACAGGATTCATGGCCTTCTATTTCCTCCTGAAATTAATAATTCTGTTCTACAAATTAAGCATTTAACCTTTCCTATCTTGCCTGTCCACTGCCATTTGAACTGGAAGTGAACTCAAGGAAGGGAACACAACAGAAGCCTTTCAAATGTCCATAGCAGAGGGAGAGTTAAACGTTTGATTTCCAAACTGGAAAGCAGGTGAGAAGCAGCATATGAGGGAGAAGATTGAAGAGTTTGGTTTCTACCTGTTCAACAACATCAGCAAAGCAAGAATAGATTAATGAATGAGTGGTTCTTGCTGTAGATGTAACTACCAGATCATTCAAATATCTTTATCTTTCACCGTCTTTCCTAGTTTTTTTGTTGTTTGCTTTATTAGTTTATTTTTTATTTTCTTTCCTTTTAAAAGAAACATGTAGTAGTGCTTTCTGGTCTCTGTTTAGTCTGAGTTTATTTCAGTGGACTTACACCTCGTTTACAGTGTGGCAGCAAAGGTTTCTTTGCAACCTAAGAACAAAATTTTAACTGAGATGCATTGTAAAAATGCTTGATTCCTCCTCAAAACAAAATGGATATTTCACCTTGACCCAGACAAATGGCAGATGCTGTCAAACACTTACTGTAGCAAGCAGATACAGAGGAGAAAGTAAGGTTTGCCCATACACTGGCCTGAGATGACCATCAGTAATTCATAAATTGTTGTTTTGATTTTGTTTTTTCTTTAATAATTTTTAGTGTCCTTATAAAACACCAGTACATCTCTCTTCACCCCAAACTAAAAATGCAGTTGTAAAAATCTCCCTTCAAACATGACGCACAGTCTGGGAAACATGTTCATCTCTGAAAGGGGACTCACTGGAAGCTCATAAAACAAGAACCTTTCTATTTTTAAAGTGTTTCCCATACATCCTCTGGACATGTAAGTCATAGCTCTCTGCCTCTGTGAACCACTGAAGCCAAGAAAGAATCTCTGCATTAGGCTGCTGTGTGTTTCAGTGCACTGAAAAAACACTGGTGGGGATGACAGTGAGTGATCAGCAGGAAGCTTTCACAGAAATCCTGATGCTAGCCTGTTTTCCAGCAGCAGAGAGCTACTATTTAGATCTTTGGGACTCTAGCTGAGAAGGCAAAAGATGTCAAAAATGGCCAAACAAAAACCAACCAAAGTCTAGACTCCCCAAGAATTTAGTTCAAAAGAAGACTTTACATCTTGGTGTTGCTCATGGCCTCCTGAACAGTCTGGCACAGAGCAGAGAAGGAATGAGCACATGACACCAGGACCCCAAGGGACAGCTCTGGGAGCAGCAACTTACATCGCTCACAGAAAACCACACACCATTTCACATGTAGGGAACACACCATGGAATAAATTGTACCTACTTAATTAACTGCGCTTTGCAGTTCTATATTATTAGCTGCTGAGGGCAACTGGTGCCTTGGCACTGCAGTCAGCGAGGATTGCATACACAGCCTGAACCTGCTAATTGAGCACGAGCAAGTGCACGCAGCTCGGCTGGCTGATGGCCCAGGCTCCACCGCACGGCGAGCAAAGCATCTCGGGGCCTGCTGCCAGACACCCAGCACAATTACGTGTGTTAAAGCAGCAGCACCTCTGTAACCTACACACCAGGAACAACTTGCCAAGCACTTGGTCACTACACGATAGCAAATTCGACATCTGATTTGCAGGCGCTGCACTGGGTACAGAAGAAAGCTTCCTTCTCCTCGGCTGCATTTCTAAATGAATCTTTATCTGACAACCAAGTACCACCCACATTTGCCAGCTGACACCCTGCGTCAGGCTCTGCTCCCAGTTTTGTAAATTCCATGAAGACCCCAGGGACAGTCAAAGTGCAAGAGCAAACAGATCTGGGGGCCTTGTTTTGGAGTTTGGTGGTGGTTTTTGCTACTCTTCCATGCCAGTGGAATTTTAAAAGATGAGTACAAATGATACAGACTTGTGTAATGCTTGAAATCAAATTCTTCAACATCTGAGCTCTCTACAAAAGAAGTTTGCAGTTTAATTAGAATGGCTTACATCCAGCAACTGTATTCCGATTAAACAAAAATTAGATCATAGGGATATTTTCTTTCCTGAAAGTATCTCAAACAGGGAGAGGGGAGAATGTATTTACATTCACACACTGTGAGTTTGTTTTAGAAACATACTGCCAGGGCAGACACTTGTGGCTGGAGGCCAAGGGGAGACCCTGCAGGCTAAGTTAGACGGTGTCCTTGTTGTCCAGTGTGCTAGTGGGAAAAGGAGAGACTGATATTAGGCCTCTGCCCAGAATCCTTTTTTCCATTGTGTCCCAACAGGTGTGAAGTCTGATTGTCATCATAGATGATCTCCTATCTTTTGAACTCCTCTTCTTGTTGAAGGTATCATGGGTAAATCATGTTAGCTTTGATCTGAGCCTTTCCCAACACCCCATAAAACACAGCTTTGCATATCAGGGCATGAACAACAGCAATAAAAGTGGTGCACTTAAGTGTAGGATTTTATGGATCCATCTGCCAAGCATTTCTTCACAAGAGAAGAAAAACACATTATGAGTCTAAGCAGATGCCAGGTCTCACCAAACTGTTCATTGACAGCAAAACATCAAGCCATACCTAAAATTGCCTGACCCGGTTGCTACATGTTGAAGATGAATCTGAAGATATCACTGATGCACTGACTCTGAGGGAGCACTTCAGGGAATGGAGATGGGAGGAGATGATGCTGAGGACATTCAAGTCCTTTCTCTGTTTATCCTTGACCAAACATGGTCCTCACCAGCAGAAGTATCTGAGTTTCTCTGAGGATGCAGAAGAGGGAAAGATGTACACAATATTTATAATCATTTGAGGAGATGTCACATTCATCCTAATCACAGTCCTGATCTCTGAGCATGGCAGAGCAGAAGAATAGGCATTCCTTCTGCATAAAACTGGTAAATAGTGTGCAGGAAAAATAAGGGCACTGTTCAATGATATGGATAAGTAAATATGACCCCACATTAATAGAATTACAGTTATTTTAGCTGGAAGGGACATTTGAAGGTCATCTGCTCTGATTACCTTCTCAAGACTGGTCTTGCTTTGATGTTAGTAAATCAGACCTACCGTAGTGAGGGGGTTCAACTGGTCATAAAGGACAACATGGATTTTAGAGCCCTGGCAGCATCTTCTGACACCCTGAGTCCCCCTGAACACCCAGAAGTTGTCTGAGTCCCTGTGAGGAGCCAGGGAGGGACAAAGGGCTCATGCAGTGTTTGAGCTGCTGCATAGCACCTACTGAGCCTCCCCACTGGGATAAAACTCTTAAGAACTGGGTCTACCTCAGTTTTCCCAGCAAGTGAGGCAATCCAAGCCATACCCAATGCTTACATCACCATGGTGTTCAGAGCATGCCTAAGAGGAAATTTCTGTGAGATGGCAAATTCCCTTCTGCCTCTTCACATAGTCTGTGTTTGCTGTCACAGAAGACATACTGTACATAGGTACTCTGGGGTCAAGATACATGTGAAATATCTCCAGATGAGTGTCCTTCCCATTGTCTCCCATTCATTCTTTTCCTCTCTTCTGTCTTCCCCCATCAGCTTTTGCTCATGTATAGACTCCCAGTATTGCTTGGGAGAGGTGACCATCCGACTTCTACCTTCCCAGGCCTCCAAACACCTTCCCAGCTGCAAACACAAGGGAAGAGCATGGGCAAGCACCTGTCAGAAAGGGCCATGCCCTTAGAGAGAGACATTTTATTTGCACAGACTAAAGCCCCCCCTGCACACCTAGGTGCTAGAAAAACCTGACCACCCAAATGTTTGTGCAAAGGGAATAAAAGGAGCAGGAACGTGATCAGATGGAATCACTAGCTAGCTTTAGCAAACATGGGCTCTAATTAATTTTTTCCTCCCATTGTTTACCCAGCTTTGTATGTAACTGAAAGCTGAACTGGGCTTATCAGTAATTACCAACAGTTCTGGAAACTTTACACATTATTGTGCTGCGTTACTACACAGGGTAGTGATCCATGAAGATGGGTGTCTCTGCATTCATTGCTAAGCAATGCCTTAAAAAAATCAAAATCTCCCCCAACCTTGTATTATGGTTGCTGCAACGAAGTGGGGAAAAAGGAGGGAAGGCAGAGGGTGGCAGCGCGTCTGCTTCAGATCTAATTATGAAAATTTCCGGGACACAGTGGCATGCTACCTCAGCAGCAGTGTCAGAGGATGCTCCACCTGTTGCCAGACTTCTTTCCCAGCCCTGGAATTGCATTTTCCCATTCCATAGTGACACCTGCTGGGAGCAACTGAGCGGAGACTCCCCTGCTGCTCTGCTTGGCAAGGGGCTGAGCAGTGCAAAATGAAGGGTCTACGGCAATCAGGCAGATTGATTCCCCTCCTTTCCCTACAGATTGAGCCAGGCTCTTATCAGAGGGAAAACGGATGTCTGCAGCATGATTAATGCTCAGAAACACCCCACATGAGCAGCCCCTGAGACAAGACACTGGAGCATCATCTGTCGGCCTGCAAGAGAAAGGAGTGAAGAACATCAGAGGGCTGTTTGCATGCAGAGGACCAAATTTAGCCCATGTAGCAAAGAGGTGAAAGCAGAGTTGAGTTTTTCTTCTTTGCAGGAGCTGAAAGGTCATATGAAAGGAAAGGTCATGCTCCACTTGCTCTTTGCTGACAGTCTTTCTGTAAATATTGGGCAATGTAGGAAGAAAAGATCTTGGGCCAAGTACCTTTGGTCTGATTCGATATGGTCATTGTGATGGCAGCCCAAACTGTGGCTTCTCTCTGCTTTCTATTCTTCTTTCCTCCTGAGGATTTCACTGTTCCTGCCCAGCATTTAGATTCCGTCATGCCTGGCATGTGGGCTGCAATGCATGCATGCAATAACCAGGGAAATGGAAAAATCTTGCCCTAACCCTGCACTTTCCTTTCCCCCTCTCGAAGCTGAAGGGAAAAGACAAATCAGGAGGAAAAGTGCCAAAATGTTTTAGAAATAAACGACAGACACCAGAGTCATCACACATTTTCCTAGGAAGGATAGTAATTTCTGTAATGTATTTTTAACCATGAGGAGTGATGGGAGGGAAGCCACTTAAATCTAATGCAAATGAAGGATTTGTCAGTTACGCAGTTCGTATAATGTCATACGTAGAAAATGTTATAAAAGTGGAGGGATTATGGCGAGGAGAGACATTTCTAAAATTGGAGGCCTTCTTTTAGGGCTTTAGCCCCCTCACTCTTTCAGATCACTGGGAACGTTTTCCTCCAAGGAAGGGCAGGAGTCTCTCTCAAAAACTGTGACAGCTCTCTAAGCTACATGTTACTTAAGAAACTTCATTCTCCTCACTGCTACCTCTTCCAGTTTTTGCCAACTGCTGCTTCTCCTTATTTCAGTTCTTCAGTGATCCCCAACCACTTTAAGCACAGCAGGGCAGTTTCCAAATTCTTCCAGACTATTTCCTTCCTCCCTTCAAGGCAATGGCAGCTTCTGTGACCAAAAAACCTTATCTAATATGGAGGCTTTCCGCTGTTTTGGTTTTGATTCCAGATTGGATTAAAGGTGCTAGAAACAGGACCATTTGTCCGGCTGATGCCAAGTGACAGCATCAGTTTATGGGCACATCTGGAATTTCCTCGCAGCAGTGGCTCAATAGGGTTAATTGCACTGACCTCATTTATAAAGCACTTTGAGATCTTATGAATGAATATAAGTGTTTAAAAAAAAAAAAAAAACAAAAAAACAAAAACAAACCAATGCATTATAGTTGTTAATATGTATTACTCTCATGGATATTTAAGCAAGAAATTATTGAAGCACCCATTTACCACAAAAAGTAGAGCAGCACCGCAGCCACAGGAGTCTGGCAGGCTGGAAAGAGCATTTAGCCCAGCATTTGGGGCCGTCCTGACCCACTAATGGCCTTGGTTGTTATTAAGGCTCTCGCCAAGGGTAAAACGTGCTTAAGCGTATTAGCCGCTACTCGGTGAAGGTTGACAGACGTGAGACCCTCAAAATAAACAGGGAGGCCGAGATACCTTTAAATGGCTAACCCGTGAGCTAACAGCAAACGCCGAGCCGCGGGAGCAGAACAGCCGGGCTCTCATTAGCGCTAACGAGCCGCTTTCCCGGGAAGCGGCTCGGGCACAGCTCCTTTCGAGGGGAGATGAAGCCCCCCGGTGGCCGCCGGGCGCCTTGCAGCCCCGCACCGCCCCCAGCCGCTCCCGCACCGCTCCCAGCCGCTCCCGCACCGCTCCGAGTCGCTCCCGCACCGCTCCCGAGCCGCTCCCGCACCGCTCCCGCACCGCTCCCGGGACCCCGCGCCTGGGCCGCGCTGACCCGCGGCCCTGCTGGCCACCCAGGCCTCACCCCGGCCCGGCCGGCCCCCGGCCCACACAGCAGCACGCCCCCGGCCCACGCATCGCCTCGCCGTCTTTCCCGGTCCCCCGAGCGGCCAAGGGAGAGGAAGCGCCTCTCAGCCGCGGGGGTTTCCGTCCTGTCTGCAGCAGGTTGCACAAGGGGATGTGAATGTCACCCATGTTCCCTCTTAGGTAAACAACAAATATAAATCTCAAACAAACACGACGTAGATTCTCCCTTTCACAGAGGAGGAAATTGGCGGGTGTCCCAGTCTCATGAGAGGAAGAGTTTGGTTTTGCAACCATTTGTCGTGACGCGGGAGTAGTTCAGACACTGATACCGTACAAGTGTTCTTTCCAAACTTAAAAGCCACACCTTTGGCGTTCTTCACTGGCAGGATCCAAGTGCACTGAAAAGCTGGTGTGGGCCAAATGTTTTATGTTAAATTGCTCTCTCAAAGCCCTATCTTCTTCTGTTACTGAGAAGTTTTTACACAATTCTTGCATCTACTGGTATTCCTGCACGTAGGCATACGGGTAACAACTGAATAGGCGGTTTGTTTTTGCTGGAATAAGGATCTGACCAAATAACCCAAGCAAATGGCTGATCGTGGAGTTTCAGATACCAAAATGTAGGGTCTTAGCTCCTAAGTGGGGTTTGTACTTTGGACTATCGAGTTCATGATTTTTTTCTTACTCTGACAGCAGAAGCCCTCAGTTAAATTAAAGAGCCCATAGCTGATTCATGCAGAGTCTTCAATGGATGTGCTTGTTTCACTGGAGCATCGGCGGTATGGACAAATTACCAAGAGCAATCTGAGCCACTGAAATATGCATAGAATTTGTTTGGGTTCCTTTCTGCACAGCAAAAATGTCAGACATGCTTTTTTACAGCAACTCATAATTGGAATATAATTGCTTAATATTCCCATCCATCTGAATTACAAGTAACACTTCTTATTGCAGAAAGGTTATCGAAATATTCACTGTGTGAATCACAGGTTAGACTTATAAGAGGGTCTTACACAACAGAACCAACTGTCACCATCCTGTCTTTAAGTATATATGTCACTGCCTTGTGACAGATTTATTCAAGATCATTTGTACAATAAGGTACTCCTAGGTTTTCATTAGAGCTAGAAGAACTAAGCTGATAGGAGTTTGCTTTTTTTTTAAATCAGGCTGGAACTTTTATTTTCTGATAGTAGAAGCCAGCGCCTCCTATGGATTGCATTCTCTATAGATACGGAGAGTAGCTAGAAAAATCTTCCAAGGAAATATGAAATTGTGCACAGCTTTTCTATATTAGTGTATCAATCCAGCTAAAGAGCTACAACTTACACATACCCTGTTCTGTTCTGAATCCCACCAGTCTCATTTCCCTAGGCAAAACTAACACTGGGGAAACCCACAAACTAAGGGTGTACTTGCAACTTCAAAAACATAAAAGGCACTTGGAGCTACAGCGACAGGACCACAGCACTGGTACACTGGGCCTTGTTTCTGTGGGGAAGGCAGAGAGCATAATCCAGGTTATTGTTCCTCCTCTCTCTTTGGCCCTCTCTTTGTCTTGCACACCACAGGCACAGCCACCATCAGAGTACAGTACTTAAGCTAACTTTTCAAAGCTAGTTGTCTGCATGCACTGCTACATAGACATCTCTTGGAGACTGCATTCTGAGCTGTCCCACGTGTGGGTCCTGCAGCAGCTCACAGAGCTCTTCAGGCTCTTCTCAGCACCAGGCATGTGCAGGACTGTTCTGTGCATGGCACAGCACACCAGTGCCTCAAAGGCTGAGGTGCTTCAAGGGGAGCTTAACACTTCCCTCCCTAAAGCCTGCTTCTCAGGGAAGGCTGAAAGGGTGCTCTTTTACTGGATTATGTGATGCCAAAGAACCAAGGTACTTAACACTAGTCCCAGAACATACAGGAATATGCTGTACATATTGCTTTGACTAGCAACTTGTTATTTAAAGTTCAGGGCAAAGATTTAAACCCAGAGAAGGTTTTTTTTTCATAATTGCAGGGGGGAGGGGAGGGGGAGGATGATGACGTACAAATGGGCAGGACGTCAGAAAATAGGAGTAAAAAAAGAATTACATTAAAAAACTTCAGTATCCTAATCAAGACTCACTGGAGCTTCTTTGAAAGCACTATCCCATATTTCCTGAGAGAGGTTAAATGCAAGATGATCACTGCAGCTCCTGAATTTAATACATCTATCAGAATTCACAATGAGCTGGGCATGAGATCAGTCACTTTGTTTTCCATGGAAAATTCTCCTGTTTTACATTAATAGAATAACTAAATTCCCTACTAAATACAGTGTATTTATTGGTTAATTCTTCTTGGGACTAGCTTTTCTTGACTTTGTTCAATGTTTTGAAAAAATTCAAGTTTAGTCTTATGATATTAAGAGCAAGTTTCAAATCTATTCCAAATCTCATCAAGATATCCTCTCCTGCTACAAAATCTCACCCTGGACTGAACACGAAAAGACAAAATTAGTCCTTTTCAAGACAGAATCATCAAAGATCAATGCCCATCAAAGAGCTTTACTTGGAGGAATAAAGAAAGAGGCCAAATTTCAAGATAACACAGACAGTCAGTGAGACTGGAGTGCTTGAAGCTGCTGGAATTTTTTTAAGTCATTCACAAATACTATATCTACCCTTGACAGGTCATTTCATTCTATTTAGCACTTTTTATTCTCTGTGGTTTATAAGCTCTTAAGCAAATGTAAGAGGGAGGAAAAGCTAACGTGTCTGATAATACACTATATCAGGCTGACAACCTAACTGAATTTCCCCTGTGGTGCTAGCAAAATGCTGTTCCAAAAAGTAATAATGCATACAAAAAAAAAAAAAAAAAAAAAGAAAGAGAGAAAAAGGGGGTAAAGGGATCATAGAGATCATGCCGTCACATTTAATTTCAGAGAACAAAACCTGAAGCTGATTTCTCTTTAGATCAGTTGTATACCAGTTGGAACATGGGTGCCTAGCACTGCGACAGAGTAATATGATCTGAGCTTTAAATAGCTGCCAAATAACCATGTGGTGGCTGGCAGCATTAAACGTGTTGCAACGAGAATGATCTGTTTCAAAGTAAAGCCACATAACAGAGGATTAGTCAATCTGATGTGGTATAGAAGAGGAGGGGGGAACGTTTTTCATTATCCTTCTGGGTTTCTTTTTGGTTTAAACATCTTCCAACTCAAAGATGCACCAGTTTAAGCTCTTTCTCTTAACTGGTTTAAAACCTGAACCATCTCCAGGTCATTTCAGATAACATCTCCTAAGGTACCCGGGTGCAGGTGGGGAGTAACAGTGTGACGAATGTGAAGTAACACCACTGAGACTGTTCCCTTGATTTAACCTAGTACAGAGTGGCTGACTCTCAGTGTGAAAGGCACCTTCCCTGCACAGAGCTGCTCTCCACCTCCACCCCCTCTACCCCACTACCATCCCCCCAGCTCCCTAGTTTGTACCAAATGCATTCTTGCCAGATTTTAGGAACAGACAAGGAACAGATCTACAGCAAGTAACATGGGGTGATTTGTACTCCAAGCCCTTTCCTCATCCTCACAGCAAAAATGTCTAGCCTTGCAGCACTCCATGAGGCCCTTCTGGGCTCTTTGGGACACAGGAGAAAATCAGGTGCAGTTTGGAGATGTCTAACAGGAATTGCTGCCAGCCCTCCATTCTTTCTTGTCAAATGGCTCTTCTGACCACTATTGTAAATATGTCTCCTGAGTAGATAAGGCACATAAGGACTGGAAAGACAGACCAGTTTTGGTCTTAAACTGGTAATGTGATTGAGACACACAGAGGGAAAAGCAGTGCTGTAAGTACTTGCGATTCTTCATCCTTTCTGTCACTTTTGATTACAGATGACTGACTTCTGTTTTCAATTTCAGTGTCTCCCCCAGCTTCAGCTGCATCAGTTCAGACTTACTGTAAGTTAACAGCAGAATTTCATGTGAACATACTTTATCTAGCCTTCACTGCCTGGGAATCACACTGCCAAAAGGACAAATAAGAACAGGAGAGCCAGAGGAGAGCCAGCTGCTGCATCAGAAGGTAAATAGCTCATTTAAGATATTCAATATGACTTCTTAAAAGATAATAAGCACAACATACTTCACAGCCAGGATTTTGCAGGCATGAAGACAGCTATAGACACTACCTACAACTGTTTTACTAGCAGTTTACTAGCACACTACAGAGTACAGTCTCAGCGGCAGCTTTATTTCTCCCTGCAGAGAAATAAAGCAGGCTTTTTTTTTTTTTTTTTTGCATTTCCTCAGAGGAGAACACTGTTGTACCTCATTAATGTAAATGCTAATAAACAGCCACAAATTTCATGAAGGTCAGCTCCAGTGAAACCTACAGCAGCTATCCAAATGAGTAAAAAGAATAAATGGGCAAAATCCTTTTCTGACTGGTCTTGTCTGCAGCTGCCTTTGCCACATTGTGTTGGTGTATCCCCCAGGGATCAACAACAGCTGCACAGAGGTCTGGCAGATGGCATCGACAGAGGGACACTTACCTGTCTTTTTCTCCCTCCTATCTCACTTTCTTCTCCTTATTTTCACACTGTCTCCTTTGTGGGCAGTCATAGTCCTTCCCATGTTTGCACTGGACAAATGGATGATTTACAGATTGAAAGCAATCAGAAAATACTTCTTATTTACTCTTCTTCCTCACTCTTCCAAATACATTTGTTAAAATATTAACCTCTTTTCTTCCAATATGATCACAGGCTATTAAGCCAGCTAGGAAATTATTAAGGAAAAAAAACAAAAAAAACCCAACCAAACTCCCAAACTCCTATGGATTTGTGAGGAACACAGTTCTTTGACCAATTTCACAGAATATTTTGATTAGCGTATTTAATCCTCTTTACAATATTTTATTCAGCTCTCATGAAAATCCCTGCATCCCTGCCAAGGATTTTCTAGACAAAAGCATATCTGGAAGAATGCCACAAAGCAAGTTGCCTTAGCTGGCCTGTCTTCCTCAAGTTCTTACAAACCCATTCCCCTGCACATAGCTCTTTAATGAAATCAGAAGAACAAGAGTTAAACTGTGCTTTTAGGCAATAATCATCCAGAAATGCCTCCCCACCACCCTTAACTCCATTCCTTGGTCTGCAGCAACTACTTATTACATATCACGTGCTTACCTACATATATTTTTTGGAGGGAGCAAACAAACCCCACCATTTCAGAAAGAACCTGACTTTCATTCTGCCACTAAGAGGGAATCCAATTAAAGCAAATTGATAGAGCTACGGACTGCTGCCAACATATGAGTCTGCGTGAAAAATTTATGAGGACTCAAGAAATTTCTGCTGGTGTTGGAAAGGCTTCCAGACATTTTCAAGGGAATCCTCAGAAACACCTTGGATCTTGATGGCCATTACATCCACAGTCTGACCCAAAGGGTTGCCTCCAGGAGAGGATGTCTTGCACACAAAAGTGTAACTAATTTTGCTGCATAATGGAGAGAGTTCTGAAGATGCACATGGGCTGAATTAAGGGCACCACAGGAGCCTTTGGCTCAATCCTTGCAGAGTTTATTAGTTGCTGCTGCACACATGGTTGGGTTTGCTGGAAGAGGTCCAGGTCTGAGGCACCTCTCAATTCCTCCAGCCTCCAAAAGCTGCAAGAAAGTGGCTCAAGCATATTGTCCCCTTAAGCTCTTGTGGAGAAGGACTCACCCCTGCAGAGAAGCAAACAGGGTTTGGGATGGGGTACCTAGTCAATAACTCTTGATTATTGAGTTTACCTTCACAATTAGCAGTGAGTGTCCTAGACTATAAAGAGGGCAAAAACCAACAGAATGTATTATTTGAGAAACAGTATGTGATTGTGTAATTAAGGGCAGGAATATAATACCATATGCACAACGAGCAGGGTTAATTTCAGCATTTCCTGACTAACCAACAGCATTATGGTGTAACCCTAATGTTCTCCGGATGGCTATCATTTATGTGGGGTTCATACACATATGCTTATGAATACTTGGTTAAAATTCACCCATCATACTCTCTGACACAGTAATTAAAAACACCATGTTATTTGCCAATAAAAATATTTTTGTGAATTGGTAATTATTCTAAACCTCACAGTCCCAGCTTCCCTACCTCCTACTCTTGTTGTCTTCCTGTTCTATAATGTATAACACTAATCTTGATGAGGGAAAAATAAATAAGTAGCAGGAAAGGCTGGAAAGCTTCCAATCACAAAACCTCCCAAAATGGAATAACATCCAATCTGGCTCACCACATCTTCTCTGTGGGCATTCCTTTCCTGCCTTTTAGCAATGCTTTCAGTATTCATACCAGCTGTGGAATTAAGCATTATGAACAAGAACAAACCGACATGCAGCCTTAACTTTTCCCCATCAGCCCCAAACTATTCTGCATTGAGTTACAAAGTGAAAACCAGCACACTCTCAGATGGATTTAATTTCTATTTGGGCCCAATGCCAGACAAAGTTTCCCCATTGTTAAAACTCAACCCCATCTTTTCCGTACCACGCATATAGTCTCATCTTTACCCCATCTTCCACACAGATGTGCATGCACACACACACAGAACCAGTCACTCCTACAATGCAGTACCAAATCCATCTCCCTGGCAGTCTTAGCTAGGCTCATTGCTTTCCCTAGCAAGACTAGTAGGCAAGTTGGATTTGGTCTATAATGCAAATTTTTAACGTGTGGGAAAATGAAGGCTGCACAAGACACACATTTTCATGTCCTAAATATTGTCTTGATAGTAAATCTTTTTTAATAAAAAATTAATTTTACACAACCATGAAAATATTGTTTAGAGGAGCCAACTCTCTCTGTTCCACTGAAAAATAAAAGGGTTAAAATTTAATTAAAATATTAATGCTATAACTCAAAATGCAATTTTGGCATAACTTCAGATAATGATTCTACTATGGCATTTTGGCTTACAGAATCATGCAACACATGGATTTCAGAATACAAAGTATACAGCTTTCAAATGCATACAGAGAAGAGAAATGGGTAATAGAACAGTTAAGCTTTTACACATTCATGGCAATTGTCTTCTCTCCAGTCCTCTTCCTATGGATGCTGCATGAACAACTGCACTCTATTTTTATAAAGTGCAGACATGTTTGCTGCCATTAAAGCTAAGGCAAGTAGTGGAAAACAGGAGAGGAGGTAGATTGAATTACTGTGTTTGAATGTTTGCCTTCTCCTCTACCTTGTGCCATTCTCTACAAACAGAAGAACAGTGTAAATGCTAAAAGATAAATGTATAAAATGTTGATTCGAGACAATTCATATTCATGATTTACTTGCAGAAAAAAATTTTCTTCTGTTTGTTAGCCTACAAAAATGCTGCTAATAGTACAATGTGAAGAACCACGTGTACTTTCTAAAGAATTAAAAACAACTAGTTGGGACTAAAGGTCGTTTCTTCCTGTACTGAGTTTTGTGTCCCTTACCCTTGAAAAAGTAATAGAAGAACTTCATGAAGGCTGCCTGCACATTTAAGATTGCTATAATAGTAATAATATACAAAATTGTGTTCCAGTATACACATGTCACAAAGTTTCACAAGTATTGCTGTATTCTCTTCAGCAGCGTCTGACTAGTCTGAGTGTAAATAAATGTCACGCCCCACCAACAAGAACAGCATTCCTGCTAATAAAGCAAAAAATACTCCTATAGGAGCCAACATAAATGACCAGCCATAACGTACATAAACAGCAAAGTCTGGGCAATCCATTTTTTTCATGTTTGTGTAGTTTTCCAGATCAGCCATGGCCTGGACCCAGATGACATACATCACGACTACCAGCGAAAACAAGACACCTGGAAAAGAAACACCAGGTTTTAACAACAGTGTGAGACAGATGCTGGGTACATTTACTGTATTACCTAAAAATCCATCAATGATTGAGGTCCTGTCTGCCTGGCACAGTCAGCATTGGCTTCCTCTAACTAGCACTACTTCCATCTTGTTCCTGATTTGAACTGAAAGGCTTGCTCACATGACAAAGGTGATATCTGGTTCTGGTAGGCAGGCTTTGATGACAAAGTTCATGCAGGTATTTACTGGTTTGAATTCAGAGGTCGAGGTGGGAGAAGGAGGAGGAATGGAATGGAACAATCTAGGAAAAAAATGTACTTTTGCTTCCCAAACTCTGGCATTGTTTTTATCAGTCTTAGGATGAGATATAGAAAGGAGTGGGAAATCTTTCTATTTGTATTTGCTTGTTTATTCTTTTGAAAAGGGTTGTGTTTGGAACACAAAACTTCAGAGTATTCTACTCAAATATTTTGCATAAAAATTCATATATATTTAATTAAAAATCATTCATCTTTAGAAAAGAAGCTCTTGGTAGAGGAAAAAAACCACAACAACAATTAATAACTATGAAGCAGGCTATAAGAAATAACCTCAAACTGGATACAACAGTTTCCTGAAATTAATCCACCACATAATTCACAGCCTTTTCCCAACCACTCCTCTGAAAGGCCTTTGAATTGTTTATACATGATAGTAATAGGAGCACATGTCCTTACAAACTTTGATAATCTCCTTGTTACTATACACCAGAAGGAGATATAAGAAGAAAGTGCTTTCCAGAGTATCAGTTGCATTCCTAATATTTCATTTCACTTTAGAGGAATGTGGACACTTGAGAAATGCAAGCCTGCAGAACAGATGCTCCAGAAGAAGATTTGCCGGAGGACTGAGGGCACGAGTCTAAATTTTTTGCATGCTTCAGCCTGTACCCATTTGCTCCCTGAGCTCCAGCTGTCACAGCAAAGTTGCAGCAGTAGGACTAAATACTTGAGAGACACCACCCCATCACATTTTTATCCCAGAATGTTTAGGTGCCTCATTAAAACACAATTGAGTGCACAGTCCTGGTAACATTCACTGCCAAACTTGAGGTTACAGGCTGTAACCTCAGGGTATTTGTGGTCTCTTCTCCATCCTGTTAAATACTTGCAATGCAACCTTGAACAAATGTGACATTTTTGGCAAAAACCACAAGTGCACTTGTAAGCACCCATGGCCAGGCATTTGCTTCCATATCCACATGTCCTGGTAACCTTTGATGGTTACCTTTCCCTATCCCCAACCTGAGATGCTGCCTCACAACCTCCTTCCCCACCCTTTCTGCCCATTTACCAGGGAACAGCTGTTGTCCTCACTCCCTCACTTGATGCAGGCAAGTTAGATGCATCAGCTTAACCTGGTGATCTGATGATCTTCCTGCTACTGCTTTATGGACAAAATATAATATTTTTACAATCATTCTGTCATCCTGACAGGTAAGACCTCATGGCTCAATCCTTATAAACATCATCTTTTGAAGACCAACAAAAAAAGGGATGAGGCATAATCAAAACATTCCCAAAGGATCTGCAGTTTCTAGGAGGCTGAAATAACAGTAGAAAAACTAAATAAAGAAGGAGGCAGACACATTTCATGTCTATGAAATACACTTCCAGGATTACATTTTTTGCTAAGGTTCAAATTCCTAACAAAGTTTGAAAAAACCCAACACTCAACTCTAAGAGGCATAAATTCAATTTTGAAAGTATTTTACCTAAGTAAAACTCAATTTTGATGGAATTTAGTATTGTGCTTGTATTAAACATAAAACCACTGAAACAATCAGAAAGAAGGATTGCCTTAAGGCCAGACAAGAAGAATAAGAAATTAAATTGAAAACTCTTCAAATATAATTCAAATTGAGCAGAAGATTCTTATAACAGAACATCTAATGATACCAGGCAATATGGCCAATACAGGAAAATTAGAACAAAACAGAACTAGTAACTTTTGATTAAAAAAGTAGAAATTCACAGACACATTCATAAATGGAGTTATTAGATATCTAGATTTTGTTCAAGGTTTCAAAATGTGAACAAAAAAAATTAGAGCACTAAGATTTTGAAAGATACATTAATAATCTGGCAAAATCCACAAGGACATTGGAATTTACCTCTTCAACTGGCTGTGCCTATGCATTTTCAGACTAGTCTTCTATTTAATCTCTACATTGGGGAAAACTTAGTCCAAAACAATAATAATTACAAAAAGTTACTATAGCAGCAGGTAAGTATAACCAGGCCTTGCACATGTGGAAAGCCCTCTGGCATCCTGGGTGGAAGCAAAGTTATGTAGAGCAGTTAGTAAAAAATCTGTCATTAAAACAAAACTGCATCAAAGGTGCTTTAATCTAGAAATAGGCACCCCTTGCTTTTCAGGCACTCTGAATCAACACCTTGGTGGTTAAACTAGAATCAACACCACGTAGGTGCAAAATAGCAAGCCAGGGCTGCCAGTGGTAAAGCAACTTCAGGGACTCTATCATCCATCGGGTGTGATTTCACAGCAAGCTGTTACACCTGTGAGTGGCAAACTGTCGGGTATGGAAATTTTCAGAAGAAATGTATGTCAAGCAGAGATAAATGTCCTTCCTTGAAAGGGAAGAAAAAGAAAGGAGGAGTATGTAAACCCTCTTAGTTAATTAAGGCACTAAAGGAGTATTTAAGGGTTCTCATCACCTGCTAATGGAGACTAATTAATAGGTGTATTACTTAGCATGTTCAGTAAATATCTTGAACAATAGACTAAGGCTAAGTAAAAACTGACCATGTCCTGTTACCACCATCAGTATTTCATTCATTAGCACTTCTTTTGTCTAATTTTCACAGAGTTATGACTTCACAGGAGTTAAGCGCTTAGACAGTTTACTGAATGTATATTTATCCTGAGAAATGTGCTCCTGCAGTCTTGCACTGACAATCTATTGTGAATGTTTTGAACTCTCAAAGGCAAGCTCCAAGACAAAATTACTAAGATTGAAAAAAATCCCCACAATTTCTTGAAGCAAATATTTTTATGAACAGTGTGTGCTATGATATATTTCTACTTTTTTGGCATTTAGACCTTTTTCATAGAGTGCAGACGTCCTTTTGCCTTTGCCTTTTAGTGAATGAAAAATAGAACAGCAGTTGCATGAATCAGTAATGATGAGGGAAATTATTCCTAGAACATTAAATATGTCTGAGAGAGATTAAGACAAATAAATACTTCCCTCCTACTCCTTTTTCTTTCTTTTTGTCCATTTTCCTTTTTTTTTATAAACACACATGTTTGAAACACAGCTCTGTGCAGTGTGATAAGACACGGACTTCTCTGAGGTCACTCTTTTCTGTCTTTCACATTCATTCTTTTGAATTTCTTTCAAACAAATACTTGTGCATATTGTAGAGGAGAAAGAATACAGAACCTTTAGAAATGTCTTTGAATTCAAGAAGCAGTTTGCTGGCCTTTAGTACTGATTCTTCCCACGTAGAAATGCCTTTCACTTGTCAATGGTGAATGGCTGTTTATGGCATGAATCTTTTACTATGCAGACACGAAGACAACAGGTGCTGGAAAGAGTGATGTGAGCTTTTTACTTATGCCTGGAAGTTTAGAACTCTTTATCTCACTTGAGGAAAACTTCTCTCTCTCTCTGTGTGTGTGTGTGTGTGTGTGTGTGTGTGTGTGTGTGTGTGTGTGTATTTTTTTATTAAATGCATTTTTCTGTTCTTGTCCTTATTTCAGATTCTACCACATACCTTGGCCTATTGTGATCTTTATTTAAAAATAATGGTTGGCATTCTTTGCTGAAGTACATGCAGAGGTTCCCATACAAAAGTTATGGGAGTAGGTACATGTCTCTGAAAACAGATTTTTGTCCTCATCTAGGATCTCAGACTAAAGTACCATCCTTTTTTGCTCTTTTGGCAGGAAGCAGCAGTCATAATTCTAATCTTGCTTCTTCACCAGGGTGTGATTCTGTAATGCTCTGGTATATTGCTTATTGGCATCAGTACAAAAGGACAGTTTTCACAACCACCAGGTAGAAAGAGGAACAAGGTTATTATGAACTTTATTGAAGGCTGCTCTAAGAGATCATTTTATGGCAGCTCCCTTCTTTTCCTAAAACCTTTGAAGCAACTATAAGGCTTCTTACAGTTTTCAGTACCATAGCTGCTCTTGGACCATCCTCAGATGTTGCAGACATGGAGATGAGCCTGCAAAGGCAGGACTCAAGTCAGAGACTGTGGTATCATTGAACTGATACTCACTTTTCCCTACAGGTCTTGCAGGTGTAGTTTTACCTGTGGACTCAGGTGGTTAATAAGGTTACAAAGTTTTGCTACTCCCAGTTAAGGAAAAATGAGTCAGGAAAAGGATAGCTGGTGTTAATTGTAGTTATAATGGCCAAGGAATGGCAAAAGTTAATATCCTAGGAGGAATACGGAAAGTAAGACCCAGAACACACTTCAATCTGTGCAGAGAACTGATAGGCAAGATCCCAAGAGAGGCTGCCTTGAAGGGCAAAGGCTGCCTTAAAGGGTAAAGGGTCCCGGAAGAATCTGGTGTTGCTCATAGATAATTTCCTTAAAGTACAAGAATGGTCCCTTTATGTATACAAGAATTCAAGCAGGTCTCGCAAAAATTAAAATTAACCTCATACAGAGCTGCATTAGCAAGAACACTGTCATAAGGTTTGAAAATACTATCACCCTTTATTCAACACTTGTGATAGCATATGTGGTAAGCTATGTCCAGTTTGGGGTCCCCATGTGAAACAGAGGTACTGATAAACTGAGGTGATGACCACCAAAATGGTAAGGAGAATGGAGAACAAGTAGAGGCTGAATGAGCTGGGGAATTTTAGTCTAGAGAAGAATGCAGTCTTCATTTTTCTAAATGGAGTTATAAAAAAGATGGGGATAGATTTGCAGAGACCCACAGACTTCACGGAATGAGATGTAATAGTCACAAACTGCATCAAGGGCAGTATCAGGTGAAAACAAGGAAAAAAGAAAACATTTCTCACAATGAAGTTGGTCAAACTGGGACAAGTGCCCAAAGATGCTGCGGAACATCAGTTATTTGAGATTTTAAAAACTTGATTGGATAAGGCTCTGAGCTGCCTGATCTAACTTTGAAGACAACCCTGCTCTAAATGGGATGTCAGACTTGATTCTCACAACAGGTCTTTTTCAAGATAAATTTATTTGTGTCACTGTTTAGGCTTCTTGATTGGGTCCCTCCAAAAGACAGGTCTATCTGCCTCTATCACAGAGGTGAGGTGTCCATCTGAGTGTTTCTTACTGTTGACAACAGAAATTTAAGCAGTTGGTTCATACAAAGCAGCTTCAGATGGCTGAACCGCTGGCAAGAATCTCATTCCCAATATCTTCAGCTACTTCCTGAACCCTAAGATGTCACAGCAGATCATGCTACAAGCTGCACTCTTCAGTTGAGGGAGAGCTTTTATCTGCTGCAAATTTGTAAGTTAAGGCTGCAGAAGGACAAAGATATGTCCAATAACAGGTATCAAAATTATTTAATCTAACTTGCTTTTAAGACAAGTAGGAAAATTACTTTTTCTTCTTCCTAAGAACTTCTTCCTAACTTCCAAAGAACAATCATCTTGTCTAACTTCCTTCTCAGAAGATTATTCTCTACAGTATAACACATACTTGAATTCTGTGGGAAGATATCATCATATGGGCTCTTTCAAAACAATGTTTATAATTCCTTTCTTTTCTTAAAAACAACCTGCTGGTTTCTGTCTTAGAAGAACTCTAACTTCACCAAATCTAAGTCACATTAATCTAAGTCATATTACATATTTTCATTTTCCATTAGGTCTGTGTTTAAGTAGATGCACACCATGTCTGCATCCTGATCACATGTTTGAGAAGTGATAAATATGCACCACTTCTCATCACTCTCCCCTTCCATGCCCTGCTTTGATTTGGCAGGCAGTTAAATGAACTCTCTAATCCTGAAGGAGATAGGCACAGGAAGGGATTAGGACAGCATGGAGACAGTAGAGCACATCACCCTCTTCTGCAACAGATTCTATCTTATCTTGCTCTGTCTTGAGCAAGCTGAATGGGTCCTATTTTCTCCTGCCACCACCACTTTTTTGACAAATTATAGCAGGATTTTGCTACAGACCTTTGCTTTTCAACAACAGTAATGGTAATAGTAAAAATAGCATGGCTTTTTTCTAAAGCCCTGATTGAGAACAGTCCTGAAGTTGAAAAATGCTACATACAGAGAGAGCAAAAAAATCAGGATTTCCCTTGAAGAACATTTGCTCTATAGGGACAAAGGGTGAAAGGGGCAAAGACAGAGACCCAAGGTCACACACTGGGATAATAAAGCTCACTTAACTTCACATACCTAAAGAAATAGTCTCTCTAGATTCTCTTAGCAAAGGAAAGAGGTGTAGGGTTCCTCCATAGCACATTCATCTGATCCAATTAGGCCCCTCTTTCAGTGTGAAATGAATCCCCAGCTGGGGGAACTTCTTACATACCTACCGTTTTTACTGCCATTGAATGTTATTGCCTCTTGCAGGCCTCCTAGGGAAGCCAAGGGAGGCTACCTGAGGCTTGAGGATCTAACTTTCCCCTACCTAAATGAGGGCAGATGAACTGACCCAGAGTGAACTGACACAAGCGTCGCTTTGCACCTCTGCCAGTCAGTTCCACATCTTTCAAGTGCCCTTTTCCTCTCAAACAGCTTCTGCTACTTTCTAGTGACAGCTGAGGTTTTTCATGCATTACAAATGCAGAAAAAGAGCAAAACTCACATGGGTTCTTGCCCTGCAAATTAGTGACAAAAAGCATTGAAATATCTTAGAATCTCCGTCAGCCTATGAATATTTTTTGTATGTCTTTTAGAAGTGTGGAGGAGTAATTCTCAAGAGATATAATGTAAGTATGCAGGATTTTCTTCAACTAAAATATTATAAAATACTTCCTGCACTTCACTGAGAGTCCTTTGGAAGGGAATAATGATCACTAGCTGCATATGAAGAGCTTAGAGGTGGAGCAGATAAGCAAGGTCAGGGGGTCAGTATGAGAAGCAAAAAGAGAGCCCAGGCCTTGTGGTCCTGACACAGGTGGCTCTGCCCCGTAACACAATATGTTCTCACAGGGGTGCCTCTCACCAGGCTTTAAACCAAGGAGAACAGAGATGGAGCACATACTATCATTTACATCCTTTATATCTTACACACCAGTGTGACATCTTCACAGACTTTTCAAGGTTAAGCAAACAGCATGCCAGTGAGCTGTCCGTATCAGCTGAACCCTGGGAGGGTGCATCCTCCACCGTACGTGTGGGTTATGAGGAAGGAGGGAATTGTGTTATTTGTTATCTTTCATTCACAGAGGTTTAGATTTCCTACTTACTCATACATGACAACTACTTTGTTTAGTCCCATCACATCCAAAGCATTTTCCTGTATTGGTCATGTAAATGTGTTCTGTCTCCCAACTTCTTCAGAGTCCACTGTAATCATCTTTTGCATCACTGATAAAGGACAAAACCCTCTCCTTAGCTAAAGCCCTTGACAATCTTATAAGGCAACATCCTTAAATATGCTTTCTTTTTCCTGTCAAAAAAGTAGATTGAAATTGCAATGTAATTCCATTATTTGTCCTGGATGTGGAGGTTTTTTAACCTTAACCCAAAAATAGCTTTTAGAATAGTTCAACTACTAAATAATTGTTCTAAGAATTGTCTCCAAGACAGGCACTCCACAAGGCAAAAGATAGAAGTATATGCTTCCTCTTTCTTTTAACCATGATTGATATAATTTTTGGTTAAGGAAAATGGAAGAAATAACTTGTCCTTTCTACTCTATAATTGACTGAGTAAACAGTATACCCACCAGCAATGATGAAAAAGCCTCCTCCTGCTTTGTATAAAATGTGACTGGCAAAAGGAGCTGCACAGATGATGAGGAAACTAGCCGCCACAACAGTGAGTACTCCCAGGAGCATAAGAACTGTCCAGAAACCTCGATAAACTAGAGAAAAAGAAAGAAAAAAGAAAAAGAATACAGTGCTTTTTAGAACTTATCCAAGTTGGTTAACAAAGATTTTCCTTTCCCCATCTCTTATCACTTGCCTTATTAAAAATTAAACATTAGTTCTATTTTGTATATACATTATATATCATGTGGATCAAAATAGGTTTGATTACCAGTCCTTACCTGCTGATCATGGAAAACAGCATGTAAGTTATTGTGGATGAAATCCATCTGCTGAATATTTAGCAATACCTTTAGCAACCTGACCAAAGCTATAGCAGTGATTCCTTGGGATGAATGATTGGACTGACAGGATACAATTATTTTACCAAAATTGTGTGGAAGAAGCAGAGAGCAGCAGCATCTTGACATTCCTAGTGCCCAGACTGTATCACTAATAACAATCTGTAAGTTCTTTACAATTTACGGCTGGATAATGCTCCTTATATATAGCCACATTCAGCAGAAAGAAACTTCAGCTAGGAACAGGGAGAAATTTAAAAAATGTAAACTTTATTTCTGAAAAACAGCTAAGTGTCTTAAACCAGTCTATTTCTGCTCTAAATCTCTTTGTATTTTATTAAATTTAAAATGTGATGTTTCAGAAGCCTGTTAGGCAGTGCCAAGCAGTGCTGAATTAATGGATGCAGCTGGTGATAAATGAGCTGAGAGTTTTGTGACATACTCTGGCCAAAAGAGTCTTTCTAACAATTAGTTTTTAGCTGGTTAATTGCACATCCATTTAACAAAGTCATCATTTTACAAATGCTACAAGAGTGACATAAATTTCTCCCATGAATTTAAAAATTGGTACATTAACACAACCCATTAGTAAAATTATGAGTTGTAAAGATCTCCATCGTCAGATCTGAAAATCTTGAAGCACTGACAATTCAGTCAGTGAAAAACATTTCCACCCAACTGAGGGAAAGCATATAAGCCAGCTGGCAAGTCAGGAAAAGTGTATCACAAAAGAAACTGCCACTTATCATCTGACAGCACCTACTTACTGTTATGGAAAAACACAACCAAGCAACTATTATACTGGTTCATATCCTGAAAGATTCAAATTCATACAGCTTGTTAGAGACAGCTATTCAGTAATAATTCAGGTTTGCTCTCATCTGAAATCTGAAGGTGCACTAGGCATTAGCAGCTTGTGTTTCCCACTAATGTATTCCAAAAGTATACGGTTTTTAACTTGACCAGCTTAACACAAGTTAAAGAATACATCATCAGCCTTGTAAATGTATTAGCTAGATCATGCTCGCCACATTACATTAGCCACACCCTTTAAATAACCCTTTTTAATCCAGGCAAACATTCAGAGACATAATTTTCTGCCACACTGATCAGCAGATTTGGGCATAAAAAAGGATGAATGTGTCTGAAAATACCTGGCAGAAAGTTAAAATTGTGGTTTGGTTCATATCCAAGTCTCCGCTTCACATAAACAAAAAATTATTGGAGTAGTAGGGAAGAAATAAGGCTATGGCTCAGCAAAGCTGTTAAATGTGTGTGTTGCTTTAAGTACTATACCTCTTATGGGATTTTGGCACTTGTTTAAAGTTAAACACATAGTTAAATGATTCACTTCATGCAAATGGACAGTGAATGGAGAACCTAGAAAGGTAAATCTCTCAAGTCCTTCAGTCTTGGGTTTCTGAAGCAATTTCATATTATTTTACTCATGGGGCTACTTTGATAAGCTTCATTGCAGTCTCCAAGTCCATGGGACATTACTTCCTCGTTTAAAGCCTAATACCACTAAATCAATCTATAACCACCCAACTCTTTTACATGGGTGGCCCAAGGTACTTCAAAGTCATACTACATAATAGGACACATTGGCCAAAATGAAGCTTGAAAAAGCTTTCTTGTATATTATTATGGTCAGTCACTTAAGTCATGGAGCAGTGTTTCTATTTTCTCAATGAAGGGGGACACAAGATTCTCCAACATTACAAAACCAACATCCATTTTCATTATCTACTCTTCATACAGGAAGTTTTGAAGTCTGTTTTGTGAGATTTCATGAGAAAAGCTTGATTTGATGCTCAAATAGTCTTAGAAACACAGAGCACAAAAGAAGTACAAATGTAAGTGATGAAAATTTGTTTCAACCTCTCTGTAACTATACAAGACTACAAGACTACACTATTTTATGCATTATGTGGGAAATACTGATTTCACCTAGCTATCCCCTGAAAGAAGCATCTATTCTATTTCTCCAAAACAGTTATTTACCCTAAAGAATCACGGATAAAGTCTGATTATGCCAATACTTGTTCATTAAGCCAATTCAGTCATTAAACATGAATTAAAAAATAAGGTGTAGTTGATAGGTACAAAGTCTGCTCACAAATCTGTGACTTTTCAAGCAAAATATTACCCTCTCTAATCTGCAAGGCAGAAAGTAATTTGGTTCATTTGTGGCACAGGTTTGAGGAAACACCCTATGAGCACTTAGACTTTTACCTTTGTAAGGGAATTAAAAAGCCATCATTTTCCTGCAAAAATGGCTTCACTTATTTTATAATCTGATCATTTTTGCTTAGATCACATTCCCCATCATCTCTGCCTAGATGGGCAAGATCAGTTTCTAAAGGGCTAGACATTCAAAATAACAACTCAGGCCTACTGCTGTCATTTAGCTTAACTGCCATCTATAGATGAACACAAAAGAGCTGGTTGAAATTAAATCTTCCTAAGAATGAAATTATTCTTCAAGTCAAAGACTTTGCTGCTTTGAGGTTGAGACACACAATGATAGATAAAATGCAACAGAGGATTCTGCTTTGAATTACTCTTCTTTACATCCCATGAAAAGGGCTGACATTGTGATCCAAACAGTCTGTTTCAAGAAATAATGGTTCAGTGAGCCCATACAAAGTGTATCTATACACAGTTTTCACAGAAGTTTGCACAATTTCAAGTCTCACTGAGGTATTTCATAGGCTAGCCCATGTTCTGGTCCAGATGACAAGGAGTACCCTTGTCTCTTCCAGATACTTCACACACACACATATGTTAGAGTTACCCACCTAAAATACCTGCATTATTCCAAGTGGTTCCTACAACAGAAGAAATAAAGTGCAAGCACTATTGCAGAGTGCAAAGTAAACATATCTGCAGTGTTTAAAATCTTGGATACCATTTCTCTGTATTGCAAGAGTGCTAAACAGAAGGTTTTGTAACTCATCTTGGTAAGCAACCCCTTTGTTGAGTATGACATTTGCCTAGGAAATGACAGGCAGGCCTAAAAATAAAAAAGACTGAGCGGAAAACAGGAGTACACATGACTGCACTGTCGGGCCTGTATAGGAACATTATATTCCTCAAAAATTACATGACCTGTAGTTTTTCCTTGCTACTGGTTTTTCTCTCTAAAGATCCTAATTTAGGTCCCTCCAGAGACTTTTGCATTATTTGAAAAATAGAATTATCTGGGTTTTTGCAGTCCCAAAATTTGGAGAAATGGGTGAAAACTACCAAAAGCCTTCTTTTCTAGTATAGTGGATCCCAGCATTGATTACAAACTGAAGTTACAGATTCATATTTTAAGATGCTACTGATACATGACATGGAAGAGAAGCAATAATACATTTGAAAAGTTACAGAGCTGTCTCACCTACAACACACACTTGTGTAGCACTCATGGACACCTCTGAAGCTCCACAACAGTTAGCCAGGAACAGCCTAGCTAATGTCACAAAGCACCCTTCTACTATTGGAGATGTTAACATCAGCATCGTGAAAGCATATCAAGCATTTCACTGCCCTGGCTGATTCAGTGTTTTCAAAACACAGCCATCAGTCCATACAAGTACTGTGGTCTACCATAAAAACCCCAGCTACTTAATCTTAATTTTAATATCAATATGAATTATTAAGCACTATGAGGATGTGTTAGTACACATCCACACTTGAAGCATGTGTTAGTACAATGCCAGATAAAAATTTCCAGGGGTAGGCAAAATGACTTGGAAAAGTTTCCTTGAACTATCATGGACAAGCTAACATCCAAAAGGGAACATTTCCTGTGATCTGACAGTGGATTGTATTTTAGAATGTGTAGTTTTTTACCTCTCTATTTAATGTAAGAGATGTTGAAATGCTTTTAACAAGAGTTTTGCCATACACAGTGCCAATGCAGTGAAAGGTGAAGTGCCTGAACTGCTCTCAACCAGGAGTATCTTCTCTGCAGATAAACTGCTGTAAATGAAATAACCTATCTCAGCAGCAGCACAGGAGACACATATGGCAAAACCTTGCAAGACTTTTCTCAGCTTCATTCAGCACCCTTTACTATCCCTTAGTAATAATTTTTTTAAAAAAAAACTTCAGCGGTAAAAAAAAATACAGTATTCACAAGATGGATATGCTGCTTTTAAAAATGCTTCTTACTTTATAGCTGCTTGGGGCACTACAGAGATCACACTTATAAATGTACTGTATTACAATCTCTCATGGGTAATTATATGACTGTTACATAAGAGCATTTTTTTTTCACCTAGAAATAGATTACTGCTAACATTTGATTTGTACAACTTTTATTTTCATATTTCATGGCTGATATTTTCCAGATTACTTTAGGTTAATTTCAAGCCATTAACAAACCAGCCAAGAAATGTGATCTCCCCATTTTAGATTTAACAGTTGCTGAATCAGATTTTTGCTTCAGTTCTATAAACATTGTGTATTATCCATTAGACATTACTTCAAATCCTGGCAATGTGCCCAGTACTGGGCAAAATAAGATACTAATAGTCAGGAAAAAAAATACTGGCACCTACAAATCAGAGTGTTAAAATTATGTGCCAGTGCTGCCCCATTAAAATGCTTCTATTTCTGCTTCAAACGGTGTTGGGGTGATTTACAACAGTTAGGGCACTATTGTTTATTTCCAAATTAAGTTGAAAAAAATCCCCTCAAAAATAAAAATGAAGAATTAGTGACTAAGTGTTAGATTTTTCACTTCTTTTTCTTACAAATAATCTCACTATGGCCAATGGTACTATTTCCATGAATAAGAAATTTGCACATTTTTCAAAAACAGCCCTAGTATTGTCCTGTAGTAAAAGAACTTTAGGAAAGTGTGATAGCCCTTGAACACCAGTGTTAAGTAACCTAATGACTTTTGAGTGATGCAAAAGATGATTACAGTGGACTCTGAAGAAGTTGGGAGACAGAACACATTTTCATGACCAATACAGGAAAATGCTTTGGATGTGATGGGACTAAACAAAGTAGTTGTCATGTATGAGTAAGTAGGAAATCTAAACCTCTGTGAATGAAAGATAACAAATAACACAATTCCCTCCTTCCTCATAACCCACACGTACGGTTTTCTTTTTCATGTCTGCATGATATTATGCATGAATCTAGCTAGCAGTGAATTAACATTAAAAACACTATATTATTATGTTTTCAGAATAGCCTGATGGGGCAACTAATCTGTTTATGATTATGTCTATTTTGAAATATATAGTTGCTGCTGTGGTATTTCTATTGCACAGGCTAATTTAATGTTTTTATTCCTAAGTTGTAGTTTACTGCACTTGTATATGTGAATCATCATAAAAATGAATCTGCTAGCAACACAATGAGGTGCTAAGTCAACTTAAGAGCTGCACACTATAAAAGTTGTCACTCTAAACCTCTGTACCATCATAGAAAGTCACTAGAGTCAGGCTTCCCCTGAGTTCATTTAGAACCTGTTTCAGGTTAAGATAAATGACATGGCCTACAAATTTCTTAAAGTACATTAACCATAAATGATGGATCACACAGCTTTTGATGATACCTTACACTACAGCTAGGGGAAGTCCTCCCCACTCTGTTATTATTTAACAAAACCAACAAATGCACAGAAACATTATAACCATGATTAAAAGATATAGCAAACTGCAATTTCAAAGCAGTGCTATCTAACCCTGTGAAGCTGGTCATGCATCTAACAGTAATGATTAAAAAATATCTGATACATTAAAGCATGCATTCAAACCTCCAATATAAGCACCCCATAAGCTTTTCTGTCTTTACATTTCCATCTAAGGCTGTAGTCCGCTTGACACCAAGAAATCATAGTCTAGGTTTCTACAAAAGAATGAACCCAGCCTTTGGTCTAAAGCTTTGGAAGGCAGACTGAAACACTAAAGTTTCCTGTCCTCAGTGCTTTAAGATTTTTAGGAACTATAACACAAACACAAACCAAACATACAAAAAAGACGTAAGCTAACTGAGAGGATCGGTGAGCCTGTTTTGAATTCTGGCCCAGAAAAGCTCTGAGCCACATTTCTGCTAAAGCCAAAGGAGTTACATCAACAGAGAATTTGGTCCAGACAATGCCCTTAAAAAGCATCAGAGATTTCATGTTCCTCAGGCAATTTATCTTTGTCTGAGCTCTTCTAGCTAGATGGTGACACAGCACTCCAACAAACCACACTTGTGTCTCCACACAAAGGACCGCACAAGGGGCTAAAGTTAAATTCAAATTCCTCTGATAAGATCCAAAAGTTTCTTAAGTCAAATTGTCTGTAAAAGAGCCACATGCCTTTACTTGTTCAGCAAGTAAAGTTGAACAGAAAAGTTAGAGATTTTTAGAAAATGTGTTGTATACATGTTTAATTTTTCTAATGAAGTTTAAAGCTCTTTATTCAGCTGTTTCTTTTTCTATGAAAGAGCAAATTCTTGTTATCTTGTTATATTTTGTTAAAATAGAACTTGATTGACTCACTAAAAATACAGTGATAAACCTGGGGAGAAGATTTGGGCTTTTTATCATCCCCAAAAGAGAGTATGTCAAGAAAGCTATGAGCCATGGAAATGGTAGTATTTTATCAAGAAACAGTAGCAGAACCAAAAAAAGGGATCAATAACCTCAGTTTTTTGGTAGTACCCTTTTATTCTATGCTTTGCTGATCCAAAGTATTAGATGCAGACAACTGGATATACAAATAATAAATGAAATCTTGTTCTTCCTCAAACCAAACTGGAGACTTTTGCCATTGGCTTTATAGAGAACCACTTCCTGCACCAGGAATCAGGAGGAAGAGGATAACCTTCTAGCATTTCTTAATTTAGCAACTGCAGTTGAAGCAACGTTTTTAAAACCTGCTTGCGAAATATCATGGGCAGGATTGTCAAACTAGACTAAAGGAGAAACAAGTTTTGAACTAACAGAAGAGATGATGACATAACCTTCTTCATGAAAAGTTGTGAAAGACTCTTGAACAATCATAACTGTTCTAATAAATAACTCAGCTTGGATGCTGAAAATGAAATGTAGGCATAAAACCCCCCAAATGTCTTCAGTTTTAATGAGCTCAAAAGCAATCCAACTGTATCTATTTATATAGCAGGAATGGCTCTGAATATACTCTACCTGGACCAGCATCTATAGTACAGTTCTGCCTACTTTTAATCTCCTAATATGAAATATAGATAGGAAAATTATATTTGAGCAGTGGTTCTTTTGGCAAATATTAACTAAAATTAATTAAACTTTTGATGATATTCCTTCTCCTTTTCTTTTCCTTTGTTTGTCCACTTCTGTGTAATCATACAATATAATTTGAGGAACCTTTGTGAATGTGTGAGTGAACAGTGGAATACAAACTCCGTCTAGGCTATTAGGAGCTGATGACTCTGTCACTTTCAAATGGAAAGATAAACTGTTCTAGATGTGCTGTGAAGTTACAGATTAGATCTCTGAATGGTGAGGTCTGAATTCTTCCTGGACAAACAGTTCATAATTTCTAAAGATTAACAGAACCATTATAATTCTAGTTTATTTTCTTTTTCATGTCTGCAGCATAAAAATTGGATTCTAAAGACACTTCAAGGTTAGCAAAAGGATAATTACAGCTTCAGGACTGGAAGGGATCACTTAAGTCCCTTAGTCAGCAAGCTCAGAGACACAGAGCATGCACACATCACAGGTTGTTTAAAAAGTCATGTGAAATAGATATCAGAAGTTATTCACTTCAAATATGTTTCTGTAAAGCTTTTGATATGAATAAGTGTTCCTGATATTTTTAAGTCAGTCCTAAGTGTTGTAAAGACAGAGCTTTCTAGGCACTATTCAAACATTTTCTATTAATGTTTATCTTTCACATGTATATAAATATATACTTACATGTATGTCTGTTGCAGTACAAGAGTTTCTCAGTGAAGTATATCTGAGTCAGTTAAATAAACTCAGACAGCATCAAGCTCTGCTCCTCCTTCCACATAAAGTAAAAATGCAGTAGATTTCCATATGTGTTTATTTATTTAACAAAAACAAAACCCCTCCCAAAAAACAAACAAAAAAAAACCCAAACAAAAACAAAACCAAAACAAACAAAAAATTCTAACCAAAACCAGTTTTATTGAAATACGTGACAAAAAGTACTTGTTTAATGCATTCAACCCAAGGAAGATCATTACTATGTTGGAGAAAAAAAGCACTAAAAAGGAAACATCTCTGTTTTTTATTGTTGGGTGGTTTTTTTTTTCAGAAATTACCTCCATTCTGCCATCATTCTTAAAGCCAAGCATTATTTATGTGCTTTGTTAAACAGTGGCTTAAATATGCATGTTGTTAAATTATGAGAAGTATGAAATACCAAAATTCTGTTAATTAAACTGTGTGGAGCGATAAGGCTGTTTTATTTTGAAGCATCCAAATTGTTTTCTTGAAACTATGGGCATTGTATTCTTTTGCAGCAAACAATACTTACTGATTGCAGAGTCATAGGAGGTGGAGTTGTGTTCATCTCGGAGAAGAGGAAATGGGGACAGGTAAGCGTGTGTGCAATTCTTAGAAGGTGACTGGTTGGCTAAAAGTGAAAGAAAGCTAAAGATTAATATTTTCCTGCCTTAACAACATTGTGTGTCTGTTCTTCAAATGGGCACAGTGAGCTTCATAGGTCAAGATTTCAGGTCCTTTCCTAGGCAACAGCTTACAGTGAATTTGGTTTGGTAAGAGATACAAGCCTTGTTATCCAAACAAGAATATTCCTTAAAGAGCAATATAGATTTGTACTCTGGGACAGTAAACGAGCCCTGCTGAAAGCACACTGCAATTTATGTGATGCATATGTATGCCTTTGCATGCATATGTACCTTTCTCATTTGAGGGTTAATTATATTCTTGTCATTATTACATGTACAGAAAAAAAAAGAAAAAAAACAAACAAACAAACAAAATCCAGGCAATTACTTTTTCTTTTGTAAAAGAACAATGAAAATATCAAGCATCTTCAAAGAGCTCACAATGGTCACAAGTAAGAGTCTAGTCTATGGAATGAATATCCTCCAGAAAAGGATAATTTCACCCTTTTTAGTAAATACTTCAAAAATTATCAACTTCTTCCTAACAAAAGGCAAAAGCTGACTATAACTTAAACCCCATCTAAGTTTCAGCTTCCTGACAACATAATTTTCCAGATAAATAACAAGGGGAAATTAACTACAGTGAATATTACAAGTTCCACCCAAGACAAAGCAATATATTTAGCAAAATATGGGCTGTTGAAGTCAAATTTGTATGATGGCACCTGCTTTTCACAAGGATTATGGAAATTTTGAAATAAGGTGAGGGAGCTCCCTCCTCAGAGGGAGTGCCAAAGACTGGAGAAGAAATTTTGCTTGAGTTCTAAATGGGAGATTTTGGTTGTAAAACACTATCTGATCTCGTCATTCTATCTATCTTAGAATCCTGGATGTAGTGAAAGAAAGCAACGGGTCATCTGTGGATGTAATAAAGAAACTTTTCTGGAGATGGTGTGTCCTACACCATTTTCACTGTGGAGTTGCCCATTGCCTTCTTAATCCACTTGTCATCAGTTAAGAACAGAGAAACTCCCCAAGCAAAAATTCATGGACCAGGCTAACCACTAAGCTCTTTTTTTCCTACTTAAGAGAAATAAACCAACTGTTTAACAGTAAGTGGTGAAAGATTTTGTAGGTAAGAATGGACTCAGGTTTACAGGGCATCCATAACAATCACAGTGTAATATGATAGCTAAACTTGTATCATTTTGTCCTAGGGTTTCCTATAGATTACAAAAGTGTGTGTCAAGAATTTATTTTAAGGTAGCTGAAGAACCTGATCCCCAAAGAAGCCATATGAAATCTACTGATCCATAAGACAGAAGGAAAAACAAAAAACACACAAAACCCCAACAGTTATGAGAACAATTATGAGATCTTTACTGCAGATAAAGTAAAAGGAAAAAAATACTTACTATACCAAAACTTCCACATGCTGCCATTATTATCTCCTACATTTCCACTAAACCAGCACCTCCAGAAGAAACCTTCATGATGGAAAGTGGCCTTCTCTCCCTACAAAGGAAGGAAAAAAAGAAAAAGAAAGCCATTATCATACAATATTTGAATGGCTGAAAGTATTAAATTCAATTAGATGTTGATGTAAAAAACACTACCATCATAATGACACACAACCTGTCTGAATTTAGATCAGCTAGAACATTTATAAACACTCATTCTTCTTTTGAAAGAATATCATATTGCAAACACAGTATCACAAAATAAAGATTCATTTTAGGGTGATTATAAGAGGTTTTGAGGCAGGCTTGTAAGCCTCCAGAAGGTCAAAATGAATATATTCAAAAGTATATACAGAAGTAAATTCTTAGAAAATAAACAAAACTAGTATATTCAAAAATTCATAAAATAAATGCATCCCAAAAATCTCCATATGTAATTCTCATTATAAATAAAAAGTTCATACTAACCCCAGCACCTTCGGGTGCTTCTGAACAAGTTCCTATTTCTGTAGCAAGAAGCCAATAATCTGTTCCAAATGCCACCAAAAAAAGCAAAACCCCCAAAGCTGCAAAGAAGCCTCCAAAAAATATCCCCACACTCAGTTTCATTATTGAAGTTATTAGAAAAAAAAAATCAAAAAACAAAAAACACCTTAATTACTTAAAAGGTTAGCAGTAAAATAAATTTAAAACAAATTATTGGGAAAGAAACTAAAAAACTGTATGAAGAAAACAGCTCATATCTGAAGAAGTTTCTCTTCACTTGACTTTCTGCCTGTGCCCTTCTTCCCAATGCCCTGTGAGTCAATTTGTGTCTCCAAATTTGTGTTCCATGTGGCTGACTCAAGTCTGACAGATGAAAAGGGCCTTCTATTTTAGGACACTGATGGCAGAGCTTTGCTCTGTTTCGCTGCCTGGGCGAGGCCAGTCAGAAATAGCTGACCTTCCCCTAACTAATCAGGGATTGACTTGAAATATTATTGCAGCTGGTGCATCAACACCAGTGGAGATGGAGTTGCAATGGCTCTGTCCATCTACGTGAGCAGCGTTACAGAGCACGCAGGAGTAGCAAGGACTTCCAAAGTTCAGGCCTGCTGGTGAATGTTTCCTTAGCGCCTAGCAGGAAAGGAAACACCAGCACAGAAGTTATTATAAGTCATGTTATGAAAAGAAGACTGAGGATTTTTTATAGAATTTTAAAATAAGGTAGCCAAAATGAAGAGATGCCTCTGAAAAATTCTATATCATAAAAATACAGTTATCTTTAAAAATTTACGTCCTTTGTTTAAAGTAATAACTTTAGCAACACTAAACAAAAAATACCTAAACGCTTTATTTATTCATTTAACATTCAAACATTTAACATTAAACATTTAAATTACAAATACTCACTGTAAAAGGAAAAGGTTTTTTCAACAACTTCATTTCATGCCAAGCAGACCTTCCCAATCATCTCTCATGGATTAAAGAAAGGTGTAGAGTTTATAACATGCACCAGATCCTACAGTCCTTACCCAATAAAATTTTATTGGAATTATTTATCACCAGAATAGAATTTTCCGTTGATACTGCATACTGGGAAGTGCTGGGCTCAAGAGAAGAATTAAGCCAGTTTACTCCAGAAAATATTTGTCACAACATTTTATGGCAATAGACTTAGGACTTCAGAGGGACTCCTACTTTCAATATGCCAGTATTGGTTTGGACAGTGCATCAGCATGCTTGAGGGCAGCAAGGAAAACGCTGTTTCTACCACGTCCCTTCACTTCTACACAGATGAACCGGTGTTGTGTCCTCAGTGGTTTTATACCACTACACAGTCTGCCCAACATCATATTCACATTTGTTATTTATCATATTTTATTCAAACCTGATACTATACTAATTTCATACACAAGCACATCTAATATTCTGTGGCCTTTTTGCACTTCAGAGTTCCAGTGTATGCAGAGCAGCAAATGAATATTCAAACAGACGCTTTTTGTCATATTTGCTTTTCCTGACAGCCACTGATGCAGTTCATTTTGATACAGCAGAAGAGAGGTGTTTGGAAACCTAATTTTGGAAAGTGATGTTTTATTGTTCATTATTAAAGAAAACAAAAAAAAAAATCAAGAAAAGGAAGAACACATACAATGTGCTATAAAATAAAATAGACTACTTGTAATTTGGAATAATACTTCAACTTTTGGTCAGCCCTGAAGTGGTCAGGCAGGTGGATTAGATAATTTGTGTAGGTCCCCTCCAGCAAATATTCTATTCTGTTCTGTTCAATTCTATTCTAATGTCTCTGGGAAAACAAACAAACAAAAACAAAAACAAACAAAAAAAAAAAAAACCACAAAAAAAAAAAAAAAACCTACCCCAAAACATCAACAAAAAAAAAAAAGAAAAAAAAAAGTAGGATTCAGTTCAGCACTAACATGCCAAAATTTAGACAATTTCATATAAGCTAAATGTCTTTCCACCATAATCAATAGCGATTGCACTCAGTGGAGCCAGAGAACAGTTCATCACAACCTAGATCAGACTCACAGGGCTCTGCTCAGTCACTAGGACAGACACCTAGCTCTAGCCAGTTTCAGAGTATCCCACTGGCTCTCAATTGCCATGCCAGAAGGGCGTATTTCCCTCTCTGTTTTGAAATACCTGCTAGCCCCACAAGGAATCTTACATGCCCCTCTCCCCTGGGCTGACACTAGGACCCAACATGATGGTGACTGAATCATGTCTGGAAAGAGCGACATGGTGGCCTTACTGTCATCTCCGGTGCTCCAGGATGTCTAAGACATCTGCATTGGGCAGGCAGGTACCACAAGGGTCTTAGAGGAGGCCGACACCTTTCCTGAGTGTCAGCTACAGGCCAGTTTCACACCACCTATGCCACCCAGGCCACCTTTGAAGCCAGGCTCCATGAGCTTGTCAGACCATCCTGGAGGCACTGCTGTGTGTTTTAGATAGACCTCGATCAACTCTAACTGCAGCAAAAATCCATATTTCACATGGAGATGTCTGAATGCAAAGGTCTTAATCTGCAACTGAATCCTACTCAGCGAACTGGAATTCCCAACCATTTTGCTGGTGTATGGATGTCCTTAGGAAGCATTGGCCCAAAGTTCAAGAATTTCATAGGTTGAAATTCAAAGACATAGATAGTCACAGCATAAACAAAATCCATTTTATGAAGTTCTTTGTGATATCTGTTAAAAATTAATTCTAATGCACTCTTCAACACTATGCCACTTAGCTCATCCTAAGTAATGCGATGTCGTATAACATCACAACAGTGAACTTTTCCAGCATTAGATCAGAAGAAAAAAGAGAACTCCAGACCCCTGTCTCTACCACCTAACCACAATTAATAAAACAAACAACCAAAAAATATCAAATGGCAAGTTCCAGTCTTGTTGCACCTACCTGCTCTCAGGACAGAAATATGTCAGTGACTCTGTGAGCCTGTTTCTGCATGAAAGTAACTTATTTGTTATTATGAAGTGAGTAGCTTCACTGAAATCAGTTTGCATGGAAAGTTTCACTGAATTCAAATGACAGCTGAATTACTGCCTGTGCAGTGCAAGTATTTATTTTTAATATACAGTACATGCACTCTGGTCTCAGTTTAGCATGTTCATTCTGAGAGGATCTAATTTAATTATTCTCTTTTATATTTATGGCACATTCTCTGGCAGTGTTATCTTCCAAATACTCTAACATCACCAGTATTATGCCCGTCTATGTCAAGAATGAAGCAGAAGCCATGTTAAGACTTGTTATGTCAGCTTAAAAATTCATGTTATCCACCACTTGAATACTCAAAGAAAGTCTCAGGGCCTTTTTCTTTAATTAAATTAAATTCTGAAGGTTCCTCAATAGAAGAGAGAAAGATTCAAGTGAGAGAAAACAGGGCCAAGCTTATCAAGGCAAAAAATTATTATTTTGAATCTTAAACAAAGTCATTCCCCAACTCCTTTCAAAACTACTAAATTTCTGCCGAAATATTGTCACTTTAAACCAAAATTACTGAGCCAAATTTACCCCTACTATAATGACAATTAAGTAACTAAATCAGCTTTAATATTCAATCAATTTGGCTAATTAAGCCAAACATTCATGGATTTTGTTGACTCGTAGTGTGAAGATTGAAGGACCCACATAATGGATGGATTCCAGTCTCATTTAACAAAGCTGTATAAGATTTTGATTTTATTTCTGTTTATTCACCAGACAGGGCTAAACTAAGTCCTGAATCTGCATATTTTATTTATGCATATAATAGCTGCAGCTTCAACATAGTATCTGAGCCCCTCCTTGTATTTAAAAATAGAAAAGAAAAATAAATTTTAAAAAACAATAGCAGGCTGTTTCTTTTTTTTCCATTTCTATCTGAAGGGGGGAAAAAAAGACATTTATGGGAAGGGGATGTTGTTTATTTGCTTGTTTATGTTTGTGTGTGATTGAGTAAGTGTCGGGTGCGTATGTTTGCAATTGGCAGGCAGCTCCTTATCTGTGCTGGCAGATATGCCCATGATCTAAAAACAGCCTTTTAGAACTGGCTGCATGTCTTACTATATACCAAGAAACAATTTCAGCAACTGCTTGAGTCTCAGAGCGGAGTTCTTCTGAGACCTCAATGCTCATCTACTGTTCTGAACAGTAACGGGAGCATCTCACCCACTGATTCTGATCCTCATCCTGTCCATGTTCCCCAGCTGGGCAGATGTTACCTACTGCACTGACACAATCACTTGTCAGTAGAGTACTAGGCAGACAAACAGCCAGACATCTCACACAGCACACCCTGCACACACTGTCCATTAAACGTGTGGTTGAAGTTCATCTTTAAGCTGGTCACTTCAGGTTTCCTCTACAGTCATACATCACTTTTACAGCACAGTCCATCTGACTTTTTTTTGGATGACCACCTCAATGTGCAAGCAACCGTGACCTAAAAGTACAATTGCTTTGGTTGGTTGTTGGTTTGTTCACTGACCAAGAGGGGGCATGGAATAACTAGTTTAAGATATGACACAACCACAGAGTGAATAAGGTTGGAAGGGACGTCTAGAGGTCATCTTGTCTAACATCCCTGCTCAAGCAGGACCACCTAGAAATGATTGCCCAGGACCATGTCCAGGAAGCTTTTGATTATCTCCGAGGCTGGATACTCCGGAACCTCCTTGTGTGACCAAACTCCTGCCAGTGTTTGGTCACCTTCACAATAAAAAGTGTTTCCTGATGTTCAAAGCGACCCTCTGGTGTTTCAGCTTGTCCCCACTGTCTCTGGTCCTGTCAGTGGACATCACTGTAAAGAGCCTGGCTCCATCTATATAAAATTCCCTCTGAGTCTTCTCTTCTCTGGGCAGAATAGTCCCAGTTTTCTCGGTTTTTCCTCAAAGGGGAGGACACTCCAGTCCCTTCATCACCTCAGTTGTCCAACATTTGACTCCCTCCAGAGTGTTCATGTATCTCTTGCACTGCAAAGCCAGAACTGGACACAGCACTCCAAGTGTGGCTTTACCAGTCCTGAGTAGAAAGGAAGGAAGACCTCCTTCAACGTGCTGGCAATGCTTTGCCTAATGAGGACCAGGATACCATCTACCTTTTTTGCAGTGAGGATACATGGCTGGGTCATGTAAAACCTCAGTGGAGATTGTAGAAATGTGCTGAAGTTCCCCACAAAAGGAGGAAATCAAGCCATTCTGAACACAGGTAAAACTGAGTCATTCATTCTGCATGAGCTATAATAAGTTTACAGAGATGACAGTAAGAACAAAAGGGACATAAGCAGGTCATATGTCAGCAAAAACTTCAACAGGAATTCTAATAGACCA